CCAAACAAAGTGCAGTACAGTACTAGTGCACCTTCATTCATTCTGTGGTCAAATGAAGACCTTCTCTTCCTACTATCGTGTCATCGTGCAGCTGATTTCAAATCAGGTGCTTCTCACTTACAAGGTTTTCAGTTATCTGTCAGGCTGCAAACAAAACTCGTGTTTTATAGTAAACTGTAAAGTGACGGAGAAGCGCCAATGTATGCCTATAGCTATGAGTATCAGAATAAAGTAGAAATTAAGAATGTGTGTGTCAGAATGTTGCCAAACAACATATGTGCTACTGAGCGTGGCAGAGAAGCGGAACAAGCAAGAAGTGAAGTAGCAGGCAATACCAGCAGCACTTAATCATGCAACTTTTTTTTATATCACCACAGCAACGCACGTTCGTGTTTCTATCTTGTACATGAATGGAAATGAGACCGCTGACAGCTGAATGTGTCAGCGTCGCTGGTACCCGACACGAAGTCACATCACACTGCTACCAACAAGCGCACGCTTGTTTTTAGCTTGGCAACACACGAAAACGATTTGCACCAAAGCCAACAAATGTTTTAGCGTCATACAATTCGTGAATACACCTATATAAATACGTACGATTTCACATCACCGAAAAGTGCAGGCTAGTGCGAGGTTCCCTTTCAGCGATCATGAATACCGATGTTGAAAACACAGTGCAGGTGAAAACCCCGTATGCACTTCGCGATGTTTCGGGCGTCGTATGTAGTGTATATGTTGCAATGGAAACTACCATCAATTTTTTTTTCAGCCGATGTTCCTCGTATGAACTGGTTCATATGAACTCGACGGTAGAGGCCTACGCTAGATGCAGATGATAGTGGTCTGGATATCCTCCACAGTAGGCAAGGGCTCACGCTCAAAACTTCATGCCTCCGAAGTATATTTACACTCGTTTTTAACCCAGAAAATCACAGATCAAAGCACAGGAACACCGACATGCTCCATTAGTCTGTACGATGTTTTCGCTCGGCCGACTGTCGCACTCGGGACTGGTGCAAACACAGACGGCCGGCATTTCTTTGGATTTGTGGGCGTTTCTCCAAATCGGCACAAAACCGCATCATACTGGTAGCACTCGAAGTCGTTCGTCGCGTCGCTGTCGTTCTAGATTACAAATCGGTCACCCAGGAACGTTTGGAGTAGTTTCAGTGCTTGCTTCCAGCACTCGGCCATGCCTTTGAAGCGGTGGCCATTAGGCACAGCATTCGGAGGCATCGCGGATTCTAGTTGGTTGGCGCGTGGCCTCTGGTTGGTTGGCACTGCTGTTCACGTCGTGACGTGGTGTACGCGTGACGAAAATATCAAGTCCGGCTTGATCCCTCGCACCTCCTCGCGTATTCCCCTCCGACGCCGACGCCCAAAGGCGCATTAGACGCTTTTGAGCCGTAGACGCGAGCATACGCATGTCAGTGGTTGGCACTTTATGCCGACGCTAGCCCGGCGTCACTGGCCCTTCTGCGCTTACTATACGTCAGGAGCTCTGCAACGCTCACTCAGCGCGGAACCCAATGATAACCATGGCAAACAGGCTCCCGGAGTTCGACCAGGAAACAGATAAGTTGAATGCTTATCTTGTAAAAGTTGAAGCGTATTTTGAAGCCAATGAAGTTACCGATGAAGCTAAGAAGAGGGCATTCCTGGTCACTCTGTTGGAGTCAAAGACGATAGAAGTCTTATGCGGAAGAGTGGCGCCGCGTCTGCCAAACGTTCTCAGTTACAGAGAAGTGGGCCCAACGCTTAATGACTTTTATGCCCCAATGCCTAATGAGATTTTGGAGAGCTTCATTTTTTTTCACTGTAAGCAAGAGAAGGGGAGTCCGTGAAAGCTTTCATTGTTTAAATTAGAAAGATCGCCCTCAAGTGCAATTTTTCGTTCATGTTAGATCAAATTCTGAGAGACAGAACCGTATGTGGTGTTCGATTGAAAAGTTTGCAAAAACAGTTGCTCGCGAAAGGCGACTTCACTCTTGAAGAAGCAGAAGCCGTTTCTTTGGCTGCGGAAAGCGCAGAAGGTGGTTCGCTGTAGATAGATAGGAACACGGATATTTCGATGGTTAAGAACGTTAGCCAACCGCGCGCGTCTGATACCATAACGAAGGAGCAAAGAAACGCGCCGTGGCGATGCAAATGCTGTGGCAAGTACGGTCACAAAGCTGCTATGTGTTTTCAAACAGCCGTCGATGCTACAGTTGTGGTAGGCAAGGGCACCTGGCTCGTATGTGTACATGGACAGGTGGCACCGGAAAAATGCTAACTCCAACTGCAGTAAAAAGACCAAAAGGATGAAAGTGGCTCTAGCGTGTTGCAAATCTGGTCCGTCACTGGTACTGAGCCCCTGGTTCTGCCCATAAGGAAGTTTATCACATGGAATGGTGTTACCAAAAAAATGGGCGTGGACACGGGTTCTCCTGTCTGTGTAACGTATGAGGCACATCACACCCGTTGGCCCCAGCTACAGAGAACTCATTTAAAACTTTCTTGTTACCAGGGCAAACTACCTGTGTTCGGCACATTGGCAATGAAGGCAAATTATATGCCGGCGGAGGTCGAGTGTAACCCTACCGTGTTAGATTGTGACGGTCCCAGCCTATGTGGACGAGACTTATTGGAGAAGCTTGCAGCAGAAGGAACGCTGGTTCTGCACGTCACTATGCCACCTAGCGTGGTAAGCCAACAGAAGGCAGCAGGAGCTGTTGCCATAATGGCCGAATATGCAGACGTAATCACGGAAGGTCTTGGGTTAGTCAAGGGCCTACCAGCTAAACTCTACATCAAGGACACGGCAGTCACAAAAGTTTGCAAGGCTAGAAAGGTTCCTTTTGCGCTGCTAGATAAGGTATCTGCCGAGATATATAGACAAGTAGATTCTGGCATTATATCTCCGGTACCATTTGCAGAATGGGCCAGACCAATAGCACCAGTATTGAACAGCAATTACGTTGTGGGCATTTGTGGAGATTTTATGGTAACATTAAACCCTGTGCGTGAAATGGAGCGATACCCTTTGCCAGTCATTGATGACATCTTCGCGAATTCGCGAGGTGGAGAAAAATTCTGTATGTTGGATCTGCGAGATGCTACAACGAGATTGCATTGAACGAGGACTCGCGAAAGCTGGCTGTCATAAACACACATAAAGGGTTGTTTCGCTACAACCGGTTGCCCTTCGGAATCGCTACAGCACCGGCAATATTCCAGAGAACGATCAAATCCATACTACAAGGAATACCCGGGGTGCAAACGTACTTGGACAATGTTTTGATTGCGGAGACTGCAGACAAGCCCTACGTAAAGTTTCGACAGGTTTTGGAACGACTCAGAAAACACAGCATTAAACTTCGCGCCGACAGGTGCCAGATAAACGAGGCCTCGGTGGTTTATCTAGGTCACCAAATCGACGCCACCGGGTTGCACGCAACAGAATAGAACGAGGAGACCGTCAGACATGCTCCCGCCTCTCGGAATGTTACACAGATGCGATAATTTTTGGCGATGCTAACTTTTTACAACAAATTCTTACCGAAGCTGTCGACCCTACTGGCTCCACTGTACTGACTTTTGGAAAAAAACAACCCAATGGTCATGGGCGGCCACAGAAAAGAATGCTTTTGAAAAAGCTAAAGGAACATTGTGTGCCGTTCCGGTACTGACTAATTTTGACCCGTCAAAATAGCTGTTCTTAGAATGTGATGCTTCACCGTATGATGTAGGAGCTGCTCTTTTTCCCCGAGTGGTTGGGCAGTATATACCGATCGGTTTTCGGTCACGAATATTGACCTCGGCCGAGAAGAATTATTCCCAGGTTGAGCGAAAGGCACTGGCTTCGGTCTATGGTGTCACACAGTTTCGTGTCTATCTACTTGGAAGAGAGTTTACTCTATTGACCGATCATAAACCTTTGCTGAGTCTCTTGAGGGCAGAGAAGCCAACCCCTACCATGGCAGCAGCTAGGATACAGAGATGGGCTATCACGTTAGGCGCCTATAGGTACCGTTTGCAGCATAACTCTAGCAGAGGTTTGTACAACGCCGACGCACTATGCCATTTACCTACAACCTCATAAAATGCATTGGAACTGGAGGGCATCAGACCAGTAATTCTATCTCTAGATCAGCAGGACATCGCTGCTATGCCAACGAAAGAATCGCAAGCATTAACGGAGACAGACGACGTCCTTTCTCAAGTATGCAAGTACACCCACAGTGGTTGGCCACGGAGTGTGAAAGGAGATGACGAACTCTCACGATATTATAAAAAGTGGTAAGAGCTGTTGGTGGAAAACGACATGCTGTACTGGGGTCATTGCGTGGTGATACCTACGGCCTCCCGCAAAAAGTTTCTCATGCTACTGCACGACTCCCATTAGGGAGTGTCTTCAAAGAAGGCTAGAGCAAGATCGATATTTTGGTGGCCTGGGTTGGATCAAGACATACAACGCGTAGCCGCCAACTGTAACAACTGCGTTCAAGTACTGCCTATGCCACCTGCGCAAACTCCTCTAAACTGGCCAAAAACGGGCGAAAGGTGGTCGCGGCTTCATACTGACTATGCGGGACCACTGCGTGGCAAGATGGTTTTGATTGTGGTTGATTCATATAGTAAATGAATCGAGGCTGTGCCGGTAGCACATGCGAATTCCCGCAGTGCCATCGAGACCCTGAGAACAATGTTTGCTCAGTTTGAGATACTACGTACGGTGGTGTCAGATAGTGTAACGCCTCCCACGGGTTTCGAAATTCGTCAATTTACGGAGCGCAATGACACTGTTCACATTAGAACATCATCACATAATTCACAGAGCAATGGGCTGGCTGAGTGTGCTGTGCGGACTGTGAAGGACACTTAAAAGGAGATTGAATACGCCGAGTTGGCCCGAGTGCTTTGCAACTGTAGAAATACCCCTCAACAATCTGGCCTTTCACCTTCGGAAATATTTTTGGGCTACCGGTTGCGCACAAAGCTGGACTTATCTTTTCCAGCAAGGAACGATCACAAAGTCTCGGCCAAGCCGACGGAAGACACTGATTGGTATATCGCGCCAGGGCAATTCGTTTATGTGCGAAATTACGGAACGGGCGACAAATGGACGCCGGGAAGGGTCAAGGCCATCACCGGTGCTCGACTTTTGGAAGTGGAGACTGAGGCAGGGATCGTCCGTCGCCGTATGGACCAAGTACGAAAGTCCGATAAGGAATTGTTCCTGGAGAGCGATGACACTCGGGAATCGGCACTACCCGACAACGAAGCGACGACCGAAGACGCCAAGAACGCGTCTGCAGTATCACAACTAATACTACGGTCCACGAGAAGGAAAAAAAAAACCGGTGGACTGTTATAATTACTAAGGTGGAAGAAGGGTTGCAACGCCAGTGGTTGCCGAAGTGGACGCAGAAAAGAACGTGCATGCGTTTTCTCTCTCTCTTTTTCTCTCTCTCTCTGTTTGTTCCCTTTCCACCCTTTCCCCTTTCATGATATAAGTTTCAAGCGGTCAATAAACGCCGTCTTCTGCCTGGTGTCACCGACTAGTTCATGTCTCCGGTGGCGTCTCTGCCACCAACGTAACACATGTCAACTTTCCTCATTCGTGCTTCGCATATTATCGATTCCCACTTTACGTGGGATCAGCCAATTTTACATACCCGGAAGCATTCAATGATCTGATGGCGGCCCACATTCCTGGCTTAAGTGTCTGGCACTCACACGCATACATCAGTGATCATATTCGCTGGCTCGTTGCCTCAGTCAACTTCATGTCTTTTCTTGCACCGCAGAAGCGGATTTCAGAGGTCACGCAAAATTGCATTGTTACGATCTGTTTCACAAGGAACCGTAATCGCTTGAAGCCACTCAAAGTTTTTATTGGCTTTATCGATATTTTTTGTTGTTACTATTGTGAAATAATTAGCCGTTACCCAAAATTACGTTAGGCTGTGATATCATATGCATCCAATATAACTCTTAATTTGTACCAGAGCCACCCATTTTTGTTTTTAGAAGTTTTTCATGAATACGCTTCTTCCTTTTTTTTATTTGCTTGCTTGTCCCCCCCCCCCCCAGGTATACAATCCCACACCAGCAAAATTGGTGTACTTGATCTGAGAGACAAGCCGGATATGAAAACGGCGAAGAGAGGGCGTGTTCACCGAGTAATGAAGCTTATGATGGTGAAAGTTTTTTACACGACTTATGAAAGTCCTCGTGCGAAAAAAATCATGTCGTTTTTGCTTTTGGTAGTGGGGCTTTCCAATTCATCTGGCGCATACCTAACCAAGTTTTGCATGTTGTTGAGCAAGCTGCACTGTCGATTTTGAAGAAATGTTTCAAACTGCGCGAAGATGACAATACGTTGTATACATAGAGGGCCCAAACATGAAGCGCAGACTTTAACTGTGTATTTATTGAATATACAACATTTATAAATTTCCATAGGGATTATTCGAACCACTAACATTACTTCATGCGGAAATATGGCAACACGGCGGGCGCGTCGCAATCTTGGGATTATCCTAATGTGCCTACCTGGAAAATATATACCCATACCTTATAAAGGTAATGAGGGGGAACAAACGCACGCGCGACTTTTAGGTGTGAAGCTCCTAAAGCCATGGGTATGCATATGCTTCTCTCTCTTGGTACGTCAGCGCCCAGTTCTATGAGTCACTCGTCAGGTGCAGAGAAGTGAACGTACATACATACATACATACATACATACATACATACATACATACATACATACATACATACTTACATATATACATACATACATACATACATACACACATACAGACAGACAGACAGACAGACAAAAAGAGGGGCGTACGGACGGAGGATTCATTGTTTACCGATAAAACCCTTTGAATCTTTACCCCACTCATCATCATGCACTTCGTGGCTATGCTGTGACCTTTACGCTACGAGGAATGTTTTGACAATCTCTAATACTGTTCCTATTGTCTTCGAAAGGACTTTTCTTTCTTCCAGCTGCTAAACACATTTGTCGCAGTTTTTGCAGTGTAAGACAAAACTACTGCCTGATCGAGTGTGTGTGTATTACTTGTCTTCTCGTGCGCTTTCAATAAAGCAGTGTCCGGTTTGACGCATATGCCACTGAACACATGACAACGCAATTTCATGAATGACGTTTGACACGCAATTACTAAACTCACACTTGCGGTTTTTTTGGCAGTCACCATGCCCGTTGTGTCCTTTTTTTTCTTTTTGGTCAGCATGGGCACACTTTCTAGAGTTTTCATGGCGCTGAGAACACCACACGGATCCCGTGCTTTTCCTCTAGTCTATTGATATTGTGCAATAGACAATTAAAATATTCATAGTTGATTCAAGGATTGCCTGTTCATTTACCGACGTACCCGGCTCATTTAATCCACAGTGCTTCTGAAAGCTAACATAAAAAATAATGTCTATTAGAAAGTCACCCTACAGATTTGTTCATGATACACTGTGATGAAAAATCTTAAGTTTTTTCTGTTATTTTCAGATAAATGCTGGTACGAAGGACAAAGAATAATTTACGAAACGAAGTTGACTACGCCGTGTGTAAGCGCAAGAACTTATGGAAGAAAGACCTACGTTCGAGTTCAAGGATGAGAGAATGAAAAAGTTTCTTTCTCATTAAATGGCTATGCGCAGTGATGCGTTCACATAGTAGCAGCCCCCCTCCCCTTTCTATTCGTTCCCTCAACAATACGCATCTGCGTTGTGCTCTAAATGTGATTGATTGATTGATTTGTGGGGTTTAACGTCCCAAAACCACCATTTGATTATGAGAGACGCCGTAGTGGAGGGCTCCGGAAATTTAGACTACCTGGGGTTGTTTAACGTGCACCCAAATCTGAGCACACGGGCCTACAACATTTCCGCCTCCATTGGAAATGCAGCCGCCGCAGCCGGGTGCTCTAAATGTGAGGCTCTCTCTTGGAGAGGATTGAAAAAAAGAGGTACGCACTTCAGTGATACTTCACTCAAATCTCCCTATCTAATTTTTAACTCTGCACAACCATACTGCTGCAAGCATCAACAGAAAACAGTAAATGAATCCCCTTCCAATAAACTTGTCACCCATTCAATGTCCCTGGAAACGCATTATCATCATTATTTTCTGAAATATCTTACTTAAAATCTAGTCTTGCTTTCTGCGAGCCCGTTTTTCATAAAGTCTCAAGACTACATCCTTTTAGATAAATTAAAGCGTACGTACGACACATTGTCTCATATGCACCCTCGTAGACTGCCAGTACTCTTTATCTAAATACCCTTCAGATCGAAATGGTAAGTGTCCTTAGCTCCCCTTAAAGGATGGAATAATAATTGCTGACTTAAGTTTTCTGTGATAGCAACAGCATGCAGAAAGCGCATTTATGGTAAACTGAGGGTCTTTTCCGTGAACTCGTGGAGTGTCTGCATTGCTGGATGAGCAACTATGAACGTTCATCAAAAGGGCAAAGTCGGGAGTGCTAACGCATGCCCTATCTTGAAAGACTTCACTAAAGGCTCGTACCATTGTACGTGTTGTGCTTTAACCGATTCCTTCGCATTGAGATGACAGGCAGCACAAAAACCGTCTCCCTCACAGGAGTGTCCGAATGTCCTCGCCCTGGCATTTTGTAGAGTTAAGGGAGATCGAATGTGAGAGTGTTAACCTGAGTTTTAATTACTTTGAATGCTATTCAAACATAATTCTATCACGTTGCTTTGCTGCTAATCTGTTTTTTTTTCAAGGGGAAGCTCCTTAGGGGCGAGTGATGTCCGTCGTCGTCCCTGGATGACGATGGCAATCATTGCAATGAAGACAGAGTGTGTTTCAGAGCACACATTTTCTTTCGGCCATCACGGCACAGCCAATGCAAGGTACCCGCTATACGTCATGATGATGAAGACGACGCTGGTGACATTGAGGAAAAAGCACGTTCCAGACCAGAGATTCCCGTTCTGCCATCGCAGCACAGCAGATGAAGGGCACCCTTTTTTACGCCACGATGAAGACCATGACTTTGATAACGTTGGAGATGATGACGATGATGATCACGGACAACGACTGACTTGTGCAGTCTATGATGTCTCGATATGCTTTACGATGCATATCGTATGACAGGAAACAACCAACATCTGTCAGGGGAACGTGAACAGACTTCGTCTTCGCCAACTTTCGGATATATCATAGACCACAAAGCAGTTAAAATGAAGGCAAATCAAATTCACAGCTTCACACAACATACTAGGTATGACCAATGGACATTGTACATAACTGTACACCGCTTGGCCCACATTTATATGTGTGAGTGGTCAGTGTTACGGCAATTTACGGCAACATTGAGCAATCCGACTGCTTCGACAACTCGTCATCATATACATTGTTGAAATGACATAATTTTTTTAGAAACTGGGCTTCGAATACCTGCGATTTTCAGATGCAAATTATATGTATCATCACAATAAAATAGAACTCGTGACTGTCGAAACAAAAGTACTGAAACTCAATGTGCTATCCTCAATATCTAAGGTAATAACTTTAGCTTATAATTATGTGACCCATTTTGTGAGTTTTTCCTGCACTGATGCAAAAACGTAAGTATGCGATATGTTGAATGCTTCATTCTATTACAATATTTTCCGTTGTCAAGTGTGCTATTTTTGAAAACTGAGCATTAGTGTAATTGCGCATTGTTACTGCGTGATAATGAAACTTTGTAACACACAAAATCTAAAAGCTACGCATGCGCTTGCTTATCTATCTATCTATCTATCTATCTATCTATCTATCTATCTATCTATCTATCTATCTATCTATCTATCTATCTATCTATCTATCTATCTATCTATCTATCTATCTATCTATCTATCTATCTATCTATCTATCTATCTATCTATCTATCTATCTATCTATCTATCCATCTATCTATCTATCTATCTATCTATCTATCTATCTATCTATCTATCTATCTATCTATCTATCTATCTATCTATCTATCTATCTATCTATCTATCTATCTATCTATCTATCTATCTATCTATCTATCTATCTATCTATCTATCTATCTATCTATCTATCTATCTATCTATTCTGTGATTCTTTAGTGTAAAGCAAAGCCGGCGAACAGACTGACGAATTTGCTGTCTTCCATCGATTCTACAGGTGCCCATTGTTTCCAGAAAGCAAGCTTACTAACTGTACAAAATTAAATGATGGCAATAAAACCAACCGGTATCCTCATTGTTGCCCTTCGTACATGTGTCCTCCAGGTGGTCGTAAGTACAAAATGATATGTATAAAGTACTAAATATTCAATTTTAAAACGCAGGTATCTTTAGTTACTCAGCAATGGAAAAGCACGTGTCGAGTTTCATAAACGGTTGCTGTTTTGAGATCGTAATTAGTGACTTCTTGTACACTACAAAAATGCGTGAAGTGTGACATTTTAGTGCATATGGAAAGTGGTAGTTAACAATAATAAATAGGAAGTAGAATATAATAATAATCGCGGGAATATTGCCTTGTTTTCGCATGTTGCCTAACACTAACGAGAGCGAGTATACGTTTATCTAAAAATTTTAAGGACGCTAGAACTCCGCCTTCAAAACTAAAACGTAATAGTGCAATTGATCGCCGTTAAGATAACCTTCTAGTTCACTTTCCGGCCGAATTACCTTCCCCCGTGCTGCGATGAAAAGGATGTCTGTACGCGCAACCTACTCAATTATAAACTCTTCAAGAATGGCTACCCGAAATGTAGTTGCGAAGTGCCCAATGCACATCGTTTCATCATTTTGCTGAGTACCGACTATGCATTCCTAAGATAATGCGTACCATAGCTCCACTGGATACTATGCTAATGTTGTGGCTAATAAAAACATCGGGTTGCGCACAAGTAATTTGGAAATACCAGGGAATGTGCCACCAGGAGGTTAGAGAAGAACGCCAATGACAACTGACAATAACAACGTATTAGCAGATGTAGAGAAACGCTATTTAAGTGGCACTGCAGCAGAGCCCATACCCAGTTTCTACGCGAGAACGAGGAACTATACGTGGGCTAGGCAAGCAAAAGATGACATAACACAACCTTCCGAGAGTCCATAGGCATCACCAGTAGCCTTGGTGAAGTAGCCTATGACTCCTTGGAGTAATGGGGGCGTTATATAGGTATCACTAGAAAAGAATGACATTTTTACTTTCTGAAGCTGCCCTTCTCTACAGAAAAAACATGAAACATTCTCTCATAATGACTTTCATTACATACTCAAAAGCCAAGTTCTCCTACAACAACTCAAAGCTGTCCAGATGGCCCACGACGCGGCGGTGACAGAACTGGGCAGTATCGAAGATACACGTACATAAGATGCTACCTTAGATACTCCTTGTGTACCTTGTGTCTGTATCGCGATGCGTCTAGCAAGACTAGTATCTACATTCGATCATTCTACGCTAGACTAGATTACATTCGATCAAGTATCGTGTATCTTAAGATACAAAAGATACAAGATATTGCAGTCGCAATGCTATACCACGCGAAACATCTATCGTTGACTGAACTCCTCTGCTCAGGCTGGTACTGGTGCCATTATGTCACCCTAATAAATCTAAGGGCAAAGACAACATTTTATTTTGTCAGACTCCACCAGTCAGGACAGTCTATAAGGCGTAAACATCCATTTCGGTGAAGCGGAGCAGCACGACAGAGCTCGCATATTCGCGACAAAAACTAAGTTTGCGTGCTTCACCAGTAGATCGGCACTGTGCGCTTCTGCGTTGGTATCATCTGGACAAGACCACGGGGATCCACTCTACGGATATACGAGGTTTCGGATCGACTACGTGGCCTTTTCTTCAATAGACTTCTAAATGGGCTGTTCACAAACAGAAATTGACGAGACAGGCCGCGACAAGACGGCGTTTATAACAGCGAACGGCCTGTATGAGTTCAAGGTTATGCCATTCGGTTTTCGCTCAACGCTTGCATGTGTCAGCACGCTATGAACGTGCGGCTAACTGGATTAAAGGTGTACTGACACAATTTTCAAGAGTCCCAAAAGGTTATTTTTTCGTTTCTTTGGTAATCAGTGTTAACAATCTCTCCACACCGGAGTCAGGCAACAAGTATAAAACATTTTATTTGATGTTAACGTTTTTGTCACTGAGCACCAACAAGCCAGCCCCACCGCAATAGACATCGTCTCGACAAATCAACACAGTATCGGCTCACTTGACGAACTCTGCGTCCTTCATGCAGAATTCATCACAGGAATCACTGTCGAGGTCTTTGCAGATGATTCAAGCGTTGTTTACGTGTACTGCTATACATGTCTAGTGTGACGGTATCAAACATATGCGTGATGCATTGTCAGGCACACTGTATTTAGGTTTTTTGATACCTGTGTTCCTATCAAGAGCAACAATTTTTAAATATCTAAAATTCGTATGAATAATCCTTTAAAGTGGCAGACCTGTCTTATTCGTCGCATACCCCGATCTGGTGGGAAGCACCTTAGGGGCTAGGCTTGTCGATGTGT